CGGATCGTCACATCCCCCCCCCCCCCTCTTCGCAGTGCCTGTCCCGGGCACTTCTATTTACAATTGTTCTACTTAATTCTACTTATGTGTTACTCGCAAACTTAACTCTACTTATATTCTACCCTTCATCTATTATTTATCCTACTTTTTATCTACTGTACCCTTCACCAATTGTTATGAACTTTGTAACTTATCTTAACTTAATCCTACTCTTAATTCTATCCTTCCTCTACTTTAGTGTGTCGCTTATTTTACTCTATATGCTATTTTTAGTTTCCCTAACTTTGTAAATTTAAAACGCCATAACTCTCCATCTACATACCGTCGGTATTTGTGCGTTATATGCGCCGCGTGATATGGTATGTCTACTGCTCTACCTACGAAAATTGGGATCCTGTATGTTGTCCCCGTGTTTGAGCTTTGCGGATTGTGGGTTTCTATGCGGATTCTGGTTGCTATTGGCGTATCCGAGACGATTTTTGGTTGTGTCCGTGTCTGGTCCGGTTTTCCCTGTTTGTTGCTGGTCCCTTTAGGTGGTGCCTGGGATGCTGGTGCCGTCGGTGGTGGTATGCCCCACGTCAGTGGTCTTATGTGAGGTCGCAGTTTCCTCGCAGGTTTTTGTTCCATCTGCATCAGTGCCATTAATTTTTGTTCTGCCTTCCTGGCCGTCGGCAGAGGTTTCGTACACGGGATTGCTGGCCTTCGAGTGAGTCTGTCGGTTGGCGGTCTCTTCCCTGGTGGCAGTTTTTGGCTTTCTCGCGCCTCCTCTTTGTTTTGTCCCGTGTTCTCTTGTGTTATTAAGGAGTCTCATAATTCCTGGGCCTCTGTTTCGTTCCATGTTGTTAGCAGATTTTCTATCGTTCTGTCGATATCCATGACTGTCGACTGTTTTCCTGGTCTGTGATTTTGCCCCTTTTATATCGTTATCGTCTCGGTGCCCGTTTTGTGGTTTGTTTATATGTTCTCTTTGTGTGTTGGCCTTTATTGTGTCTGGCCATAACCGACTCGGATAATGCCCCCAATGTTCGGGTAGCGTTTCCTTTGGCGGCTCCCAGTTTTCGAGCCAATTCTTTAGTTCTTGGTTGAATTTCATTTTTCTTTTCCTCTCTGGGACTGCTGGTTCGATTGCTCTCGTCCTAGTGTCCTCACTAAGCTTGGCTTGCTCTTTTAATATCCTAATTCCCTCCTCCGATCTCTTTGATTATTTGGTTGGAGGGGGATAATTTTTGTTTGTTGTCTACTCGTTGTTGTTTGGTTTAAGATCATGTATATGTATGTTTGTGCCATTTTTTGTTTTCGTCGATTAGATCTACTATTACTGGTGAGATGATTCGTTTTACCGTTAGCGGTCCCATATATTTCGGTGCTAATTTTGAATTGATAGCTTTCTCTTTGTTGGACAGTGTATGCGCCCGTTTCCATACGACATCTCCGATATGCGCTTTCCAGGCCCTTCTCCTTAAGTTGTAGAATTTCTCTTGTTTTTGGAACGCACGTGCCATATGAATTTTTACTAGTTCATACGCGTCCTTCAATTGTTCGTGGAGCTTTATTGATGTCGTACCTGGTCTTTGTTTGCGTTCTAATTCGCATGGTCCCGCGAGCTCCCTACCGTTGTTCAAGAATGCCTGCGTATATCCTGTGCCTTCGTTTTGCGCTGTATTAAAAGCAAATTTTATTTGGCTTAAATTTTCATCCCAGCTTCTATGATCTTTTTCTACGTATTGGGAGATCATTGTTTTTATCGTACGATTTGCTCTTTCTACAGGGTTGCTTTGGGGAGTCCATACCGGTGTCCACCGGTGTTATATTCCTAGTTCCTTGGTTATTTTCTTCATGTTCCCCAATTTGAGTTGCGTTCCATTTTCCGATATTATAACATCCGGGCATCCGTGTCGGTAGGCGATTTCTTCTAGAAAACCTTGTGCCACTGCGCTAGCTGTTGTTTGGCGTAGAGGCTTTATCTCGATCCATTTCGTGAATCGATCCTGCATCGTGAGGATCCACGTGTATCCCTTTTTGGACCTTGGTAGCGGTCCTATCAGGTCTAGCGAGACCTGTTCCCATGGTCTTTGTACCGCCGTGGCGTGCAGCTTTCCTGCTGGTTGCATTTGTGATGCCTTGTGGGCCATGCAATTTTTACATTTTTTTACATATTGGCTGATGTCTCTAAACATCCCTGGCCAATAGTAAAGGCGAGCTACTCGGCATATTGTCTTCGCGATCCCGAGATGACCCGCTGCTGGGTCGTCGTGATATGTCCGAAGTATCTCCGGACGTTGCTCGTGCGGTATGCATCTTTTCCATTGATCCTGGCTTGATACTTCTTTGAAGTCGAGACTGTGGAGGATATGTCTGTACAAGTTGCCGTCCCTTATTTGGTAGTCTGGTAATAGTTGAGGTTGCTCTGCAACTTGGTTTTTCTTTTGTTTGTACCATTGGCACTCCGTGTTTGCTTGTAATGTGGCGATTACCGGTTGTCGGGATAGTGCGTCGGCTACTATATTCATGCTTCCTTTTCGGTAGCGTATTTCGAATGTATATTGTTGTAACTCGAACTTCCACCTGCCTAATCGTCCTGATGGTGATTCTAGTTTTTCTAGCCATCGTAGTGATTGGTGGTCGGTTAGTACGGTGAATTTGTATCCTTCTATATAACAGCGCATTTTCCTAATTCCCCATACTACTGCCAGGCACTCTAGTTCTGTTGCGCTGTAATTTTTTTCGGCATTATTGAGCGTCCGACTTGCATATGCTGTCACGCGCTCTCCTCCCTCGAGTACCTGCGTGAGTACCGCTCCTAGTCCGTGCGTGCTGGCGTCTGTTTGTAGGGTAAATTCTTGGTTAAAGTCCGGGCAGGCTAATATTGGTGCGGTAATTAATGTTTGCTTTAGTGTTTGAAACGCTTTCTCTTCTTCGTCTCCCCATTTCTATTTTTCTTGTTTTCGTGTCAGATTTGTTAGTGGTACCGCTATTTTTGAAAATCCTGCAATGAAGCGTCGGTACCATGATGCCATGCCAAGGAATTGGCATATTTGGCGGACGGTTGTCGGCGTTAGCCATTTGGCTACTGCGTTCGTTTTTTCAGGGTCTGTTCTGATGCCTTGCTTGTCGACTATGTGTCCCAAGTATTTTAGACTGGGTTGACAAAAATGGCATTTTTCTATATTTAGACGGAGATTCGCCTTTCTTAGTTGTTCTAATACCTTCCTTAGTACTGTCAAATGTTCCTCGAAGGTTCTGGTAGCGATAATTATATCGTCCAGATATACTTGTACATTGGTTTCTAGTTCTGGTCCTATAATTGAGTCCAATAACCTTTGAAAGATTGCTGATGCGGCGTGTAGTCCAAATGGCATTACCTTAAATTGTTTTAGTAATCTGCCCGGTACTGTAAAAGCGGTGATTGCGCGGCTGTCTGGTGTTAGCGGTATCTGCCAATAGCCGTTTTTCAGGTCGAGTGTTGTGAGATATTTTGCCCCCCTAAGTTTGTTCAATGTTGCCGTTATTTGCGGTAAGGGGTATGCGTCCGTCTCGGTTACTTCGTTAACCTTTCTAAAGTCGATGCAGAAACGATGCTTTCCATCCTTCTTTTTTACTAAAACAATCGGTGAGCTCCATGGGCTCTGCGATGGTTCGATTATTTCTGCTTCTTCCATTTCGTTGACTTCTCTATCGATTATACTCTGCATTGCTGGGTTCCTCGGT